GTTTTAGTTAGAGGAAATAATGAGGATATAAAGAGAAATTGATCATGCATATCTTTATCTAATGTGTCACATAGTTGATAAGTTTATGGCAAATCGTGATAGTGATTGTAATATTATTACATGGTTGTATGTATTATGATAACATGTATTGAGAGTGTGGATTGGGCCATTATCATAGGTTTGTTGATATTATGACAATGTGCCTTAAGATTTAATTTGTGAAAAGGTTAACAAAACAAATTGTGAAATTATTACTTGTGTTATGTGTAATCACAAATCTTTGAGCATTCAACTCCCATGCATGTGCCTTCATCAATTGATATACAACTATATATAATTGACATACCTTGGTTATTGAGTGGTTGTATTTACTCTTCTTTTTCAATATTTTATAGGCTCTAGCTCAAGTATGGAAAGCTTTGGAGGCTTAGGAATCCAATATTTATACTGTAAAGCCTCCTAACTTCATTTACTTGGTGTAATAGTTCGAATATTATCAATTAGAATGCATTTTGTTTGTATTTACACTATGTTGTTGTTTAAATTTTGAGATGTTTGTTGAGTCTTAAAATGTTGTATGTAAGTTGTTAGAGCGTTAATAGAGCCAAAATACTAATGCAAGTGCGGGAAATATTGTCATGTTGTTGAACTTGAAATTAAATGATTTAGGCAATGTTAAAACTTCCCTTTCTGTTTTTGGTATTAAAAAAGGTTGAAGAGTGAAAATTAGAAATATGTGGGATTATGTGTATGTGGTGTGTTATATAGGTAGTTTTAAATCTATTGAGCATGTTCTAGATATTAGTGGTGGCTTTTTGGCACATGCGTATGATTTTGGACATTCTTGAGCTAAAACAAATATAAACAGTTGTGAAAATATTTTAGGATGTCCATTTTCCTTGTGTGAAATAACACATAAGAAAAACTCATGTTGTTGGTAAGTTTATAAAAATATTTTTTTATAGATATTTATATCATCTCATTCAGACATCAAATAGAGAAATAAGGCGTGTCAATAGTAACCTCAAAATGTTATCATTTGACAGCAGAGTGCTATCTGATAACATGCAACATGCTGCGGTGATTGGCATAAGGAAAAACAGTTGCGATGCATGTATATAATGTTGCAACGCATCTCTTTGTTTTCACCCTTTAACTCATAGAAGATATCTCATACTTTCATAATAATATTTTACTTTGAATTTTAAACTATAGGTTTAAAAGCGATTTAAATCCTAAACTTTTAAATTATTTTGTTTAAAAATAAAACAATTTATTGTATACATTCTTAATATAGATGACTACCTTATTTGTAATTTTACTATGCACAAGGATAAAGAAAAACTCTAAAATAAAGCAAATTGTTATTCATAAAATTAAATTTTTATTTAAAAATAAAGAATTATAAAATAAAATGTGTTTAAATTTAAAATTTATATGGGGATAAAATGGTTTGGGATGGCACATTTTTTTATACATTTGGCATTATCACGGGGTAACATATCATAAAATGGTCGGTATAAAAATAAAATAAGTTATCATTCAAGCCATGTAAATATATGGGGCGGTAAAATTTTTTAAAAAAATAAGTTAAATTATATGTCAACTTGTAGGAGGTGAGAAATTTTAAAAAATGTTTATCTTTTTAATATATGTAAGAGTAATACAATGTCAAATAGAAATTGTTCCTTAATTTTTTTTTTTTTTAAAAAGTGACTGTATGTGAGACCCATAATAAAGAATAACGGGTGTGGGACATATCATTAAAGAAAATGTGGGATGAATATGGAACTCATAATTTAATTAATGAAAATTTATTTTCATATGAAAATTTTTTTGCTATATATATTTACATTTTTTAATTTTAAAAGTTTAAATAAGATATAAAATATAATAATTTTTTATATTTTGAAAGGCTATATAGGATCCAAAATAAAAATTAGACGTGGATGTAAGATTCTTAATAAAAAATAGTAATATATAGGTGCTAAATATACAATAAAATTTAAAAAAATTATTTAGATAAAAGTATAAAAAGTACACAGGAACTTGATGAGTTTTATTTCAAAATTTAATTTAATCAAAATGAAAAATTACTAATAAAATAATTTATCACTTTTAAATTTTATATGAATAAGATAATAAATTGTAGAATAAAATATAACAGTAACTGTTTTAAAAATAATTTAAAATTATTTATTAAAATTATAAATGTTAAATAAAAATAAGAATAAATTATATTGACTAATCTATCTCTTATTATATTAAATTCATATTTGTTAATTAATAAAAAAATTCATAATCTATTAATTTTTTTTACATGCATGTTTGAAATATTATTTTAGCAAACTTATATATTTAAAATTTTTAAAATAATAAATAAATAATTTTTATAACTATTAATTTAAAAAATGACTAAAAATTTAAAAGAACATACTCTCTTTATTTAAAAATGTAAGATATTTTTTAAAATGTTGAATGTTAAAAAATGTAAGACATATTTAGTCTTTTGAGATGTAATCATTGTCTTTTTTAAAAAAAATGTCTCCATTAATAATAACTTTATATTTATTATAGGATATTTAATAGGGATAAATGCAAAAAAGATAGTGTTATTTAAAATTAGGTAATTACTTTATTGAGAAGTAAGATTCAGTTATGAATACCTTATATTTTTCAATAAGGGAGTATCATTTAAATGTTTTGGGACAACATGAATAATTTTTAGATAACACATTTCTATTCAAAAAGGTTATTTTAATTCAATATATATGAGTTAATTATCAACTAATGATTGTGTGGATAAAAGTAAAAAGTTAAAAGTTAAATAAACATTTGTATTTATATTTATTAATTTTAAGATATGTTTGTATATATTTTTAAAATTAAAAAGAAGTAATTAAAATAAAAAAGAGAGTGGACAATGTATTTTACATTAAATTATAAGTACTCTAAAATCATTTTTAAACTTTTATAATTTTTTATTTTTATCTTTTATGTACTAAAACATTTCTGTGCATTGCACAGGAATTAAATCTAGTTTTAAAGTAGATGGAATAACATTATAGGTGAAAAAAATAAGGATGACCTAGAATATCAAAAACAAAGTACAAGAATCAATGATAAAAAAAGATAAAATTATAGTAACCAATTTATTTTAAAGAATTCAAGAAAATATATTTAACCTTTTAATTATATATATATATATATTTCAATGTAATATAATTTGATTTTATGAAATTTTTCAACTTTAAAGTATACTCACCGTGTTTAAAAATATAAGGCATTTTTAATCAAATCTCATTCTCAATAAAATAATTACTTACTTTCAAACTAATCCTATTTTTTAATATTTATCTCACAACCTATAATAAATATAAAATCCTTATCAATAGAATACTTTAAAGAAAGATAATGATTATATCTCAAAAGACTAAAAATATTTTATATTTTTAAATATTTAATTTTTTTAAAAATATTTTATATTTTTGAATGAAAAGAGCAGTAATGCTGGTCTCTTTAACATACCGTTAATTTACTTCAAGGAAAATGCTTAATTGAATTTGAATTAATTCATCTATAATGATATGTCATCCATAATACAGACAAAGCGACAAAGGAAAAATAATATTTTTATATTATGAGGCGGTAAAAATTATTCTAGATAAATTAATTTAATTTTGTGTAATATTTTTTAATTAAGTAAATTTGAAATGTTAAAAAAGATAAAATATTATACTCTTTTTTAAAGTTAAAAATAATAAAATAATAAAATCATTTAGAAATACTAACTTAAAATTGTCACTTTTAACTCTGGCAATTGTCCAGAGCATTATTAATGAAGATGAGTTCAACATTTCATTTTCATTTTTCAGCTAATGAATTTCTTTACATCAAATGACAGCTTCTCAAACATGGGGATAATGGACAAGCAGCACGAAGGGGAAGGAATAAATTGCTGATGTAATAAAAATAAAAGTAAAATAAAAAAGAAAAATTTATATTTTATAATTTTAAATTTGTCAAATTTATCCTTAAATAATTTGTGGTGGCTTTTGGTGTCGCGCTTACAAATAAGACCTGGTGCTTAAAATAAAATACATATTAACATATTTATATAAAATTTAATAATAATAAATGAACTTCAAAGATCAATAAAAAAGTCAAGATATTAAAAATATATTAGATTTTGTTTAGTTGCTAAAAAAAATAGGAATGGAATATATTAAAAAATTGAAATTAAAATTACTAGATTGTCCTTTTCTTTTATGATGAGTGTGATAAAGGTTAACATTATTGACTTAATATGTAATTTAAATTTTAAATTATAAGTTTAGGAAGGATTTAAATTATAAACTTTTAAAATATACATTATGAATTTTAAATAATTAAAATTAAGATAATTTTATCCTACCATTAAATTTAAACAAACATCCATCAATTTTTTTAAATGAAGTTTAATGTGCAATTAATTTTTCTTAAATGAAGGTAGAGGATAGAGAAAGTAAAATTTAGTAAAAATTACATATTAAACTTTGATTTTTAAAACACTAACTAACGTTTGTTTAAATTTAATGATAAGAAAAAATTATCACAACTTTAATTATTTAAATTTTAGAATATATTTTTTAAAAAAATTTAGGATTTAAATCACTCCTAAACTTACAATTTAAAATTCAAATTATATAATAATTTAATATTAGATATTATAAATGTACTAATTATCACATCCTCAAAAATTTCATAAATCATAACTCTTAATTTATAAATTAAATTATTATTTTTTATAAATATAATTCACCTTTCTCACCAAATTTTAATTGTTTTATTTATATTTTTATTTTTCATTTCATTTTATTTTATTTCTTTTCACTTCTCAGAACGTTTTCATGCTCCAAATACCAATTAATTATCTGGGATCTGGGCGCTTCCATTTTCGTGAAAAGACGAGTCCCATCTGGAAATATCAGAAGGTGATCTCGAAAGTACTAAATTTCTCCCTCCGTCTCTTTTAAATACCTGATGTACCCTCCCCATCACCAGCGGAACATTCTTCTATTCGTGACTAATCCACATCAGCATCAGCGCTCTGTCTGCTCTCTCTTTCAATTTTGAAGCTCCACAATTCGAACATGTCGTTGATCCCGAGTTTCTTTGGCGACCGTAGGAGCAGCGTTTTCGATCCCTTTTCTCTCGATGTCTGGGATCCCTTTAAGGATTTTCCTTCTCCTTCTGCTATCTCAACTTTTTCCCGGGAAAATTCTGCATTCGTCGGAACTAGGATTGATTGGAAGGAGACCCCGGAAGCACACGTGTTCAAGGCCGATCTTCCAGGGCTGAAGAAGGAGGAGGTCAAGGTTGAGATCGAAGACAACAGTGTGCTTCAGATAAGCGGAGAGAGGAACATGGAGAAAGAAGACAAGAACGACACGTGGCACCGCGTGGAGCGTAGCAGCGGCAAGTTCTTGAGGAGATTCAGGCTGCCGGAGAACGCCAAGATGGATCAAGTGAAGGCTTCCATGGAGAATGGGGTTCTCACTGTGACTGTTCCCAAGGAAGAGGTCAAGAAGCCTGAGGTTAAGGCCATCGAGATCTCTGGTTAAGAATAATGGATGACAATTCTCTGCTTATGCTCTGCTTTTATTCCTGGGTTTATAATCGTCTTCTTGGCGAGAATTTCGCGTTTATGCTACCGCTCATGAATGTTTGTCATATATGTAAGAAATATTGAATGTCTTGGATGCTTGTAATGTAAAGTTTCGCTTGCCACTTGGGGTTTTGTTTTGATGTGTGTGGTCTTGGATTGAAATATGAGCCTCGTTTTTCTTCTCATATCTTCTTGTCTTCCTTCCCGATTTTAATTTAATTTCTTGTTCTTCTAAATTCAGTGGTGGAAATTTACTGAGATTGGATTGAAGAGGGTGTGAGAGTCAATGCAGGCTGATACGGTAAATGAAGGGGAGAATCACGCTGTAGCCCTTGAAAATAGATTTGTATTTTGGGTTTAATAAATTTTGATAATGCGGTTGAAGAATTTTTGTTGCAATTCTGTTTTGAGAGTGGAAGTATAATTTTATGGCTATGTGAACTTGCGCGAAATTTTAATCTGTAATATGATATTTATGAATACATAATATGATTTACATGAATTTTTAATATAATATTTATAAAATTTTAATACAATATTTTAATTTTTTTATGATTAATAAATTTAATAAAATGTATAAATTATGTGGATTATGGATAATATAATGTTAATAGATGTATAACATAATATTTATATATTTTTAATTGAATATTCATGCCATGGTAGAGCTATATTGATTTGAAGGATGCAAATGTACCTCTCACTTTAAAGAAAATTATAAGTGATATATAAAAATTATATATATCCTTACTTTTAATATTTTATACCCTTTAAATTAGATTAAAAATATTTAAGCTCAAATATTTGTTAGATAAATAATATTTGAATGATACAGATAAGATGAAGAACATATTTATAATAAAAAATCATATCAATTGATTCAATATAATTATTTATTCTAGCTCAAATATTAATAATTAAATATTAATTTTTGTTGCAATTCTGTTTTGAGAGTGAAAGTATTATTCTGTATAATATAATATTTATGAATGTGATTTACGTTAATTTTAATATAATATTCATGAAATTTTAATATAATATTTATATTTGTTTATATAATTAATAAATTTAATAAAATGTATAAATTATGTAGATTATGGATTGTGTAATGTTAATAGATGTATAATATAATATTTATGTATTTTTAATTGAATATGCATGTAATGGTAGAGTTATATTGGTTTGATGAGTGCAAATGCATCACTCACTTTGAAGAAAATTATAAGTGAGATATATAAAATTTATAATTTTGTATCCTTACTCTTAATATTTTGCACCATTTGAATTAAATTAAAAATATTTAAGCTCAAATATTTGTTAGATAAATAATATTGGAATGCATATTTATAATAAAAAATATCAATTGATTCAATATAATATTTTTAAAGATAAAAAATAATGATAAAATTATTTATGTTATTATAATTTTAGTCCTGACATAATTATTATTTTTTAAAAAATATTAATTTTTATTAAATTATTTCGCACCCCTTGACTCGGGTCCTAGCCCTACCACTATGTCCATGCATGATAAGTTAATTAATAGGTTTAATAAAATGTATAAGTTACACAGTTAATTAAATATTCATGGGTGTCAAGTTAATCAATATATTAATAAAATATATAAGTTACACAGACAATATACAACATAATGTTTATGGATGCATAACATGATATTCGTGCAATCTCAACATACTATTCATAAATTATCAACCGAATGTGCATGCATGTTCAGTTGATCAATAGGTTTAATATCACATACAAGTTATGCAAATAATGTACAACACATTATCCATAATTGTCGATAGATGCACAACACGATATTCATGCATTGTCAACTGAATGTCCGTACATGTCAAGTTTATTAGTAGGTTTAATAAAATGTACAAGTTACACATATGATGTACAACATAATGTTCATGAATGCACAATATGACATTCATGAATCCTAACACAAAGTCCATGCATGCACTAGTACAAAATATGAAATTTAAGGGGTACTTTTTATATCGGTTGAAAGGCAAACGGTGTAGAAAGTTAAGGCGGTGGCATTTTATAATTTTGACAACGCGTATTATAGTATTTACACCGGGTGAAAAGGCAACTGTTGTTAAAAATACTTTATACAGTGAGTGCATAAACACCTGCTCTACAGCGAGTGAGAGTCACCTGATGTAGAAAAGCAGCCTTCTACAGCGAGTGGATAACACTCGCTGTAGAAACACCATTTTCTACAGCAGGCTAGAGTCACCTGTTGTAGAAAATCACTTTCTACAGCGGGTGAATAGTGACTCGTCGTAGAAAGTGGTTCAAATTTTTTTTTTCTCTTTTACTCCCCGCGTCTCCTCCCTTATTTCCTCTTCTTTACGCCATCAGAATCTCCTTCCTCCTCTCCCTTGACTGACACCCCCTCCCCTGCCCCGCCATTTGACCCTCGCCCCCGTCCTTCCTCTTCCCCTTTCAAGCCCCCTCCCCTTGCCCCGCCCTTGCCCCTGCCCTTGTCCCCTCACTATCCCCCTCGCCCCTCATCCCCCTCGGCCCTATCCCTTTCCTCCTAGCCCCCCGTCCCCACCCCCCTCGGCCCCACCCTCATCCCCCTAGCTAAAAACTTGATCTCTCTTGCAAGTGTATGAGATTACAGTAATAAATTACTCGGAGTATTCTAGATGTTGAACCTACAAGGAAGTTACACTTTTACTAATTTAAATAATTAGTACTTCAAGAAAAATAGATAAAATGGATAATTTGGATAAAAATATAAGGAATAAAAATAAATCAAGAAAATAATGATGATAAAAATGCAATCACTTAAAGCGTTGGGGTTTAGGATTCACTCTATATGTTGTTAGTTTCTACCCTTTGAGTTGACTCGGATCAATTATAGTGACAACTATTCTTAAAGTGTCCTAATATTCTCCCGAATTATTAGTCTCTTTTTTAATTAGTTCTGAATTCGTTTCCACGATACCCAAACAACTAATTAAACTGTTAAGTTATAGTTTAAGTCACCATTCACCTCTCAGTTCATCAAGATTCCCTCCCCCACACTTAAATTTCACATTGTCCTTAATGTTTGCAGAAAAGGAAAAAGATAAAGGAACTGAAACACCCCTGATTTAATTTGTTTTGATATGACTTTGATAACCTTTAAGCTCCTCCCTTTTAAACATTGTAATCCTGCAATTCGTCTTAGAGGGGGTTTTAGTGATCAAATAAAATTTTATGGAGATAACAAACAGTAAAAAGAAATTAAAACAATTAAAATAACAAAGAAAAGGAAATAAAAACAAAATTAGGTTGCCTCCTAATAAGTGCTACATTTAATGTCTATATCTAGACACTGCTGTAAAAATCAAGAGATTCCTTCTGAGTATGGTAGAAATCCTTGTCCTCCTAAATCAGAAGACACCTTATCCCAACTAATATTCATCTTTCCCTTGGAGAGGGTTCTTGTTAACGAGCAAGGGACTTTCCAATTTGATTTCAATATATGAGTGCCAGTGCTTTTGCGAGGACTAGTGACTATATCTTTAGGTTGCCTTTGTAGCTCCCTCCTTTCTCCATTGCTAATTTCCTCCTCTTTATTTTCTAAAGTATGTAAGGGAGGGTCTTTTAGGAGTTTCTCCTCTTCCTGTGTCACATGTATGCTATATAAAGATTTTTCAAAAATAAGGAGATTAGTAGTTTTAGTAAATTTAAATATCTCTTTTTCCTCATCTATTTTGAATATTAATTCTCCCTTAGGCACATTAATTAAGGCACCTCCAGTGGCTAAAAATGATCTTCCTAATATTAGTAAGACATTTCAATTATCTTCAATGTCTAAAATAATAAAGTCTGTAGGAATATAAAGTTTACTGACTTTCACTGTGACATCCTCAACTACACCATATGGATATCTAAGTGATCTATCTACAAGTTGAAGAGTCACATTGATCGGGTTGATATCTATTATACCAAGTTTCTTGCATAGAGAATAAGGCATTAAGTTAACACTAGCACCCAAATCACATAAACAATTTTCAATAATATTACAACCAATATCACAAGGAATAGTGAAACTTTCTGGATCTGTCAATTTGGGTGGTAGCTTTTTTTGTAGAATCGCATTACACTCCTCTGTAAGTGTAACCGTGGCATATTCTTCTAACTTTTTCTTGTTTAAAACCAACTCCTTGATGTATTTGGCATAAGCAGGTATCTTTGCCAATGCCTCTATAAAGGGAATATTAATTTGAATTTTTTTTGAACATTTTAAGGGATTTTTGAAAGCCTAAATTTGGATCTTTTTTGGAAGGCACTCGAGGTACGGAATGGGGGGCATATAAGGTTTGGCTTCAAAGGGAGAATGCCCACTTTTAGTTCCATATTGATCTCTTGAGATTCCTTACCATTCTGTATGGTGACTGCCATAACTTGCTCTCGTGGATTGACTTTGGTATTGCTTGGAAGTTTACTTTGATTCTTTCCAGTAATTAAGCTAGCCAAATTGCTTATTTGAGTCTCCATATTCATCAAAGAATTACCCATTTGAGATTCTATATTCTTCATAAAAGCTTGAGTTGAAGTGACTATTTGTTTTAGTTGGTCAATCTCTTGAGTAATTCTCTTCATGCTATTCACTTGGTAAGTCGCCATTTGAGCCAAAGCTTCCTCCAACTTCTTTACATGATCTTCAATTGTGTTTCTTGGTTGTTGAAAGCCTAAATGTGCTTGTGGCCCCTGAGTAGAGGAATTCTTCCAAGAGAAATTTAGATGATTTCTCCATCCAGGGTTATATGTGTTGGAATATGGGTCATTTCTTAAATTAACTTAATCATTATTAGCTCCTATATAATTAGCCTCCTCCACATAGTTACCATCACAACCTGTATGAAGAGAATTATTAGTAGAAGAAAGGGAATTAACAGAACTAGAATTTTTCAATAATATATTTAAACTCTTTGTTAAATCCTGTAGTTCATATGAGACATCTGATGTTGAAACTTCATTAACCATCGCCTTCCTTCCTCTAACTGCCTTCTGCCTTGAATTTGTTGCTAGCATTTTATAAATCTCCTCCCTTTCTTCAGCTATCATATTACTTGGATCACCTTGAGCTGCATTATCAACTTTTGATTGGCATT